AATTATTTCAATATTTATTTATTGAATGCCAAAAAGCAATTGAACTTTGTCGACCCTATGATCGAGAAGGACAACATATGCCCGTTTTATTAAGTATCGGAATCCCTACCGCAGTTTTCACCATAAGTTGCAAAATGAACAAAGAAAGCAACAAGATTCTTTTTCTTCATTTAGCAAAATTTGAAAAGAAATAATCGATGAAATATAATGGAAACTTTGCTTTGCAAAACAAGCTATAGAGTTTGACTAATAGACAACAGTAATTATTTTGGCTAAACAACAATATTATTTTGATGGTACTACTGACGAGATAGCAAAATAATCCACGAAAAGCCAACTAGGTTCAAGAAAACTTTTAGAAAACCTGCACATATTTAATTTATCTTTTTTCAAAGCTAAGCTGAATCTCTGAGTAACCTCAGGGTAAGCTATGTACTGTTGTTAATATTTAGAGTTCGAATATGAATGTAATTATAACTAGTGGTGCTATTAATAGCACAGACTTTCCCGTATTAGATTTATATTTCGTGGTCTCGGCTACCAATTCCGACTTGCAACATTCTCGTGCCAACTGCTATCTATCGCAGCTTTGTGTACACTTTTTGAAATTTTCTCAATTTTTTGGCTTCCTATGAGTAGAACGTGAATATTATTTTCATAATATTAAAGAATCGTAAAACCTCGTCATAAATAGCAATTTTCTTTAAAATATTAGGGGCCGTTTTTATGAAAATTCGAAATTTGAAGCTCTTTTTCACAGAAAATGTCGGAGTTTTCGAAAAACTTGATTAGAAGTCATTTAACGCACATTAACTCACAAATACAATAGTGTTTACAAATGTATGAAAATGTGCATGACATGAGAGATCTTCCACAAAAAATGAATTTGTATAATTTAAAAACAAAAAGAAAAAATATCCTGAAACTACTTACCTAACCTACCTTACGACATATTAAACAGTGCAATTCGCACTATTCCTTCGGAAGTTTGAAGACACAGTATGAAGCCGTTTTTGAGAAAATTGCGTTTGAGCGTTTGTGAAAACACGTAATTTTCAGCTAGTTTTCACAGAAAATAGTTGAGTTTCCGAGCAACTTTATATAACATTATTTAAAGCACATGTACTCATAAATGTAATGTGAATAAATCGCAGCTAATATAAATATTAGCAATGAGCGAGACACGTCAAAAAAAATTTTTTTAACAAAAGAATAGAGCAATATGGCGTTTGTGCCATCTCATAGAGTACATTTAGCAATATCTCTACCAAAAGTTTAAAGAAAAAACTTGGAGCACTTTGAGAAAATATTTAAAAAGGTGAGGTAATTTTTTAAGATTACAAATTTTGCGCGATAACTACTAAAAATTTCAAAAAAATGTACATCTCAATGAAATAACTAATTATGAACAACAAATTTAAATTGAAGGTTAACCGTGAAAATCGAACCTATGCCACCTTTATAAGAGTATGTATTTCTATTCTTACAAACAATTTAAAGAAAAGCAATGAAGACTTTTTTGAGAACCTTTTGAAAGTGTCCGGAGGGCTTCACGTAAAGTACTCCCTAATTTTTACGAATGTTTTTCAAAAACTCAAAGATTAGTCTCCAGCCAGAGGGAAAAGGGTTTCTTCAATTTGGAAAAACATCCTGCGTATGGTTTAGGCACTAGGTGTTCACAGATGGACAGTCAACGGACGTTTTGCCGTCATTTGATGTTTCGGTATCAAGGACCTTCAAAAAAAGGATTCTGGCAACGCCACGTGTTAGAGGATTTTTTTCCCTTAATTTAGCAATTTGATTTATCCACTTCTTCGTTATCAGGGCCGGGGAATGAATTTTTTCTGTCGAAAATCTGCCGTTTATCGCGTAGCATTACATAACTTTCCCTATACTACGTATATACGTACGTATTATTCTTGAAATTTACCTACTAAAAAAACAATATTCAATATTATATTCAAAATATGACATTTATTTTGAGAGGAGGGTGACACTATCCGTTTCACTAGCAAAGTTTCAAATGACATATCCCTAAAGTATTGCTTTAACATCAAATTTCACAAAAATAATATACATACATATCCTTTTTCACGGAATGAATACTCCCCACCTCTTATAAACATGGAACGTTAGCGTACCCCCTTCCCATGTATAAAAATTGAGATTTTACTGATTTTCTAATGAAAGGGATCATTCAATTTCGCAATTGAATGCACTATAATTAATCTAATATATAAATATTGATAAATTTAGTATAAATGAAAAATTCGAATAAGAAATCCTGGTTGCGTCAGTGAACATTAATTTAGCAGCTTAGCTTTTCAACTAATTCATGACATTGTTGTCAAGCCCGGCATGTATATGAATGGGCCGCTTTAGTACATAATATTCCGTTTAAGTTTTGAGGTGGACGTGCAAGCCCATTGTTGGTGCCGTAGTTTCGTTTACGAAAAAAGTAATAAGCAAATCAAAAAATCCATTGTCGGATTAACAAAAGATATATCCAAACAAGCACAAAAAACAAATTTCAAATGATTTACAGACAATATTTCAAAAAAACAAACAAAAAAAACGCAATAGTATTCCCCTGTTTCCAGATTATTTTCCCTTCCTGTAAAGCATGCCCTAATAGGATACGAAGAAAAACGAAGTTGACCTCAAAATTTCTACAAATTGTATCGTGGCCTTCTATTCGAAAACTGCCGCTGGAAAAAAAAGACGGTCTAATGTCCCATCATTCTCGAGGGTTATCGGCAGGCGCTGCCATCTCGCGGCGGCGAGCGAGGGTCGCGCCCCGCATTTGGCCCGTCATGCGCGTCGGCCCCCTCTTCCTCCTCGCCCGGATCTCCAGCCGGTGACCTTGCCAGCCATTACGTATCGTAAACACGGCGCCTGCGGGCCTGTGAGGGGAAGTGCGCGTCTCCACAACCAACCGAAAGCTCGAACAGACGCACTGTTGTCAGATGGACGAAATTGTATCCTCGAATAGAGTTATGATGCAAAACTTTCATATTATCAGAACTTCTTTTGAGGAAACAATTTCGCCAATCTGACAACAGTGCATCTGGTCATGTTGTCGGCGGGAAAAGGAAAGAAATTGTGTGTGTGTGTGGGGGGGGGGGTACGTGAATGTGAAATTGACAATGCTTGCAATATTTCTCCTTTAGAAATAGTATCCATTTCTTTTTAATTCTACATTTCTAAAAGCTAACATGTGGGGTGATAATACAAACGCTCTAAGTTAAAATGGTATATTAAATTGCTTTTAACGACGAACTGCGAAGAATCATAAACAAATCCATTAAATTATTTACATTTTATAATGGATATCTGTTGGGAGAATTAGAATCAATTCATTTGGCAACACAGACTTTCGTGTGTCTCACTGACCCTAGTATGAGTCGTGCACGTAGTGCGTCAAAGGTGAAATAAAGATGCAAAAGACATACAAATAGTATAGCAGAGCAGTACATCTGAAGGCACCAGTATCCTATCTCTGCATGACCTGTGAAATCGAATTGTTGGAAAACTCAATTGTTGAACACGCTGCTATTTCTTAACAGATTGCAGGTTTTTATAGATAAGCTGCCCCTGGACTATATATCATATTGTTTGGAGCGTTTCATTGTCATTAAATACAAACTTGTTCATTACGTAGTTCACATTGGGTGAGCATTTTAAATATTTCTGAGTACATGCCTGCAACTTGCCAGACAAGTATTTATTGTATATTAATATATGATAGTATAGTTAAAAAATCCAAATTATCAAATTTTGCTATCATTTCTTTTTTTTTTTCGATGAAAAATTTATACTCATTACATAATATACACATTACATTCGTATTAAGGCGGCTTTACACATTCGGCATTCGCCGAGGTACTGCTCGCGTAATATCGAAAGGCTCACGTATTTGGCGAATGTTTGCTGCCTTTAATGTGCCCTAAAGACCGACATGCGGTGGGTAGGGCGAATACCGAATGTTCGGCGCTCTTGGGATTCGCCGTATGCCGCTTGTTTGGAGCAGACTAAAGAAATTGAATGGGTTTAAACTTGGTAAGATTTATTGGCACCATCTACGAAAAACTAGTATCCCCGCTGAATTCATTTTATAACTGAACACAATACAGATCAGTCGGCATACACTTACCCAGGTCTGGTTCTTAACCAAACGAAGGCCCTTTAAACATTTCTGAGGGTCCCTTCCTCTCTTTTGACCTAAGCATCAAGGTACCTGGCACCCTTCCTTGGCTGCAGGGCAGAATACCGGTCTGTGCCGCCTCACCCACCCCTCCCACTGCAAACAATGACGCCCCTTGTTAGCCAAGAACTCACAGGGGCGACACCTCGTAACTACATCTTTGAAAAAATCTCATTGTCTCAGAACACTACAAACGGACACCGATAAGCTTCGGAACTGTACTTAGGAACTTATACACCTTTGCCGAACAAGGCAATGTACTGGCAGGAGCAAGGAGGGGGTCCAGTGTTCAGGATAATAACTTCTTCAAAGACATTACAGATCTTTTGTATACTGCAATTTATTTCGTAGGAAGCATACAAAGCAAACGTACTTCATGCATGCATTTAAGACAATAACACCCATCGTGTTTACAATTGTTATCAGACACCTCTTCACACCATTACTACATATCAAATGTATCTCAATACAAAGTATTGTTACCTTTCATTAAAACATTTGGAACGTGTATAAAACGCTTACAGTATCAGTCTTTATCAGTGTCATATCTAAACATAATAACTTCTAGTTTGTCAGATCTTTCAAAATATATTGAACTGTATTTATATATTTAGATAGTCTATTGAAAATGTTTAATTCTCTATTATTTTAGAACATGAGAATCAAATTAACCATAAGCAGTTTTTGTAAATCCTAATTTTTGACAAAATTTCAACTTATGAAATTTTAAGAGAATCCTAATGACGAGACCTTTAAATTTTACGACTCAGTTTCAAGGCCTCGAAACTAACAGCACCTACGCCTTGATAATGGCTTTCCCGGTGTTTTCTCCTTTCAGCATACCCATGAAGGCCTTCGGCATATTCTTGAAGCCCTCAGTGACCGTTTCACGGTATTTCAACTTACCCTCGCGGATCCATTTGAGGTTGGTGTGGATGCCTTCCATCCAGCGGTCGGTCCAGCGATGCACAATGAACCCTTCCATTCGCAGCTCCTTGAACACCATGGACGGCTGCACAATGGCCGCACGCGGGTAGTTGGCTGGATCGGCGTTGTACGAGGAGATGCTGCCGCACACGGATATGCGCCCCCTGGTATTCATGTGGTTCAGAACAGTGCTACTTATGTCTCCGCCCACGTTGTCGAAGTAGCAGTCGACCCCCTTCGGGGCCCCCTCCTTGAGTGCCTCGTTGACGTCCTTCGTCTTGTAGTTGTAGGCGGCGTCAAAGCCCAGCTCCTCCGTCAACCATTTCACTTTCTCGTCGGACCCCGCGAACCCGATGACGCGGCAGCCCTTGATTTTGGCGATCTGGCCCACGATGGAGCCAACCGCTCCGGCCGCTCCCGTCACCACCACAGTCTCTCCCTCCTTCGGCTCGCAGATCTCGAGAAACCCGAAATAAGCGGTGTTGCCGGGCATTCCCAGGACACCAAGCGCCAGTGAATAGGGAAGCTCCTTGAAATCGGGCAGCAGGTGGGCTTTAGGGAAGCCCGGAAGAGGTTCCTTGGCGGTGTCGTGGACGGTGTGGGTGCGCCACCCGAAATACCCGACAATGTAACGGCCTTCTGGGAAGTCTTTCGCCTTGCTCTCGACGATCTTGCCCACCTGAGAGCCGATCATGGTGATCCCAACAGGAAATCGGGCGGTGTAAGGGCGCATGTACGGATCGACACTCCAGAACACCGCCTCCACGAGAATTTCGCCATCTTTAAGCTCAGGCAGCTCCTCCTCCTCCAGCTTCAAGTCATCTTCCTTCGGCTCCCCGGAGAAGTGCTTCGCCAAAATCCACTTCTGCGCCTTCACCATGTTGATACGAGTCGTACGTGCGGGCGTCGGATTCGGCGCAAAGCGTGAAACAAAGCCAAACGCGGGCGATGTCACTGATTACGTTCGCGCTGGGGCCGCGGAGTGACTCGGCGAATACTGCTCGTAGTGCCCTTGGGCAGGGGCAAGAGCGCGGTGGCGGCCCGGCGAAGCGGTGGCATGGTGGGGGGAGAGGGGAAGTGCCATCCGCCGCGCGCCGCAAGCGCGTTGCCACGTCAGCAGCCCCAGTGGCGGTGGCGAAACTAGCGCGCCTAGTGGGAGATGATCGAAACTCTCACCCGCCTTGTTCGAATATCGGTTTTCCCGTTAATGCGTATATGCATGGAAATAAAGGCATACACGATTTTGTAAGAAATAAATCTACAAAAAATAATCAAGTTATGGTTTTTTGAGAATGTTTAAAAAGGAAATTTGTATTACAGTGGGATGGTAGCATGTATTATACGATTAAAATTCATATTAGATGATTTATATAAATAAATAATAACAAATCAATAATTATAAATTAATTATTTAGTGCAGTAAATGGTATGTAATTCAAAGTACATTCATAATGTAACAATTGCATCATAGAATAAAACTATATAAGTACGCCTCTTTGTTCTTTGAGTTTTAACCGAAAGTAGTAGACTTCTCATTCCACTTGCTTAGTACTTGACTTTGTAGAACCATTTTTACCAAAAAGACAGCCGAGAAGGTAAATGTTTAAGTAAAATAGCGCAAAAACACATACTGCCTGTGGACTGTTAAGGTTGCTAAGCTCGTATTATTGGTTTTATATTTATGATTATTCACATTTTACAGAATCGCTGAATAAACTAATGTTTACCATTTGCTTTAATATGCAAAAATGCGCAAAATGTTCATGTAAAATTTAGAGATATCCTATATTTCCAGTATTTGTTGGTAGTTAACACTTCAGAAGAGATATTTTCACAATTAGGAGGAGTCGGTCTATAAAGTTGTCATCTGCGTACATGTCCGAATGGGACGAAAAAATAAGCCTCACCGAAAATGTAATTTTCTTTTTTCACACAATAAAACTCTTTAAATGCTTAAAATCATTTTAGAAGAAATGGATATCTTGGTACAATATTCGAATTTTTCGACGAGGTGCTTGTTAGAGTTAAAATTGAATGCGAATGTTCTCTAATTCGCTTCGAAGAGGTACCTAAATCGAGGTTAGATTTGTAGCACGAAACAAAACTAGTACAAGGTGGTTGTAAAGTCAGTACTTATTTGTAACAATGAATAGTTCAAAAAGAAAACAACAAAGTAAAGTTTTACTACCCCTTTGAATACATTTTTAGTGTGTACCATTTGGTTACTACGTTACATTTAACGGTGGGAGAAATGCTACCACGGCCAAAAGTAACGGTCAGTGTGGAATGAGTCTCGGTCCATACGTGCCCCACGACCCGATGAATGGTGAACGATACTTGGAGATGCTTCGAACGTACGTATGGCCTGTGATTCAAGAACGGAGAAATAAATTGGAATTGCTGTTCGTGCAAGATGGAGCTCCACCTCACTTTGCAATTCCAGTGAGAGAATGGCTTCACGACAATGGTCATGGAAGATGGATTGGCTGTGGGGGACCAACAAAATGGCCTGCACGCAGCCCTGATCTAACACTCTGCGACTTCTTCTTTCCTAGGATGGGCTAAGGAACAAGTCTACATGTTAAGACCAATAGATCTAAACAGCTGTGGACACAATTTTCGCAATGTGTTTGCAAATGTTCCCGTTTGGATGCTACGAAGAGCCGTGGACTCTTTTCCTAAAAGATTCAGACTTGTGAAAAATGCGGGTGTATAAACGTAGCGTAGTAATCAAAATGGTACAAACTAACAATGTATTTAATGGTAATAAAACTTTGCTTTGTTGTTTACTTTTTGTTCGAATATTCGTATTCATTGTTACGAATAGGTATTGACTTTATACAATCACCCGTTCATATTATTTTAAGATGGTGAGCGGAATTTCGACTACTCTGTACACGACCAAAATGTGATCTGTTTCATAAATATAATAGTGTATGATGCAACCGTTTCCGTAAACAACAATCCAATGAGAAGACAATGAATGAACAACAATTGACATTCATTTTAAAACGTTTCACATTTATGCTTGCAGGGTACAATAGTTAGAGAACAATTTTATCATCAATTTAAGAGGTCTGTGTCACTCAAGGTACACGCAGGTGCATTGTGTTTTCGAGTGAGCGAAAATTTCGAGATCTAAACATCATTTTTCCAAGACTCTTCTGGAATTATCCCTGGACCTCAAACCGATATTGAGATCACACGCAGACGAGTAAGTCGGGTCGAGGGAAAATTTCCGCTAATTCTTGACCTTTAAAATACATTTCATATTATATTATTCTATAATTAAAAATTAGTTTTCGGTAAAGAAGTATTCAGAAATTGACTGTAGCAGAATAAGCATTCGTTAATTTCAAATTTTGATCAGATTAAAGATAATCACATCAAATTTACGTCACAATTATACTGTTTGAATAATACAAGTACATTCTTTATTGGCAGGAGCCAACACTATGGACACGTTCAGAAGTAATTGTAATATTTTACTAAATATTCCTTAATGCTAGTGCAATTTTAATATTATTGTGCTAACTATTGTAAGAATTTGTTGGCAGCAATTCTCCAATCAGTAAAAAATAATTTCTGGAATAGCGTATCAACATGTAGTGAAACATTGCACTCAACCCTGAAATGACTGAAAGGCATGTCTCTCTAGACCAGGGACCCTTTTTTTCGTCGACCCGTTTAAAGAAATTGTTATTCGACCCGTTAACACTTTTCTCCATAATATGCAGGATACATAGCCCTAATGAAAATAATTGCACCTAATTCCCTTAAAGAGAATTTCGTACACGAAGAGTTTCGTAAATAGTATATCGCTTTTCAATAATCAATGGATATTCCGCTTCTGATTAATTGACTGTGAGTGTCTTCATTCATAGCTGTGCAATTGTTGCGAAATATTCAACGTTATTAAAGGGCTGACCATAAACCGTTTACAGGGAGTATATTATTATAATCATTCGGGCATTATTTTAAACAACTCTTATTACAATAAATTATTATACTCGGTTGCTACTTGTTTAAGTTTCTTCTGCGAACGTTCCATAGTTGATCGTCTAGTCTGCATTTTTCATGAATCTTTCAATGAGGTTGCAATCCGTTCAATAAATACTTTTTAATAGATAGACGCAAATGGCTTACTAGAGAGGAGGGTCTAGGTACTTTTGAACTCCCTGCCAGAAGCCCCGTTGGACTACAATATTCAAAAATTCTGTTGTATTAATTTTATCAAGTAACGAAAGTCATGTAATCATTCCAATTGATATACGTTTTAAATATAATAACTCATAAAAATACATTTTCCATTCTATATATAAAAAAATGAATCGCAAAATTGTGTTGGTGCTACGAAGACGCAATAAACTCACACGCCCTGGACACAATTTGCGCAATTCCCTTTTTAAAGAATGTTCGTATGAGGTTCAAGATGGTTTTAACGTCGAGAGAAAAATTCGAATAATGCCCGAGAAAACTACAACCACGCCTTTTTTTCTTTTTTCGCCATACAAACGTTTTCTAACTAAAACGTAGAGTAAATTTGAGCTTTAATAGCTGTTTGTATAAAGCACTAATTGTTGTAGTAGCAAAGGCAACTCATTGTCGTAGTATGTTTCTAACGTCAAAGAGTCAATGTTGCTAGGGGTATGCCATACTCTCTCCGGTGTTAGACGGAGACTCGGTATTTATTGTATCTCTCATCGTTCCGAGTTTGCGAAAATTTAATCTCCGTTTTTTTTTTTTATTTTTTTTTTTTTTTTTTCCATTTGCAATACTCCGTTTTCAAATTTTTTAACAATATAAAGATTTTTCAACTAAAATAAAAGCTTTTCTATTCTCATCAAGAAATATGTCTTTCCTTCTTAATTAAGAAGATAAAGAGGGCAGAACATGAAATTGGTCTTACGCGCTTCTCGTGTAATCTAAGCCATCCGCTGTCTCCTTCTATTCTACGCATATCAGAGAGAGACAGCAATCCTAGCGATTATTGCGAGAATCGCCATCGCCCCAACGAGTTGTCAAGAATAATCCCCGGATGCATATTTCGATATCTTCATTTTGAACTAAGATCGACACTTTTCGTATTTTGTTCGACATTTCGTGAATCAAAGGCTGAAATATTTAGATATATCAATATACAATTTGAAATAAATGTTAGAAACGAATAATTATAGCAGGTAATTTTTTTACATACAGATTGTTTTAACATATCTGTATAACCTAAAAATAATTAATCATACTTACATTTATCTGTATCTCTTGGTTTTTTTAGAAATAACAGAATTAAGACTTGATATTTTTAGAGCGAAACACATTTTTAAGAAATTCGAAAGTTATCTCTAAATATTCGTATTAAAAACTCAATTAATAGAAAGTATGTAAAAACACTACATAATAGAGTAGTTTAGTTAATAAATGTTTTAGCAAAATTGCTTCTCAATTTATTTTTTATTTATATTTGAATTACAAATGGATGAAGTACGGTGCAGTTATTTAGTAAATTGCACTTACTCGACGTCACATACAACACTTTATTAGTCAATTTAATATTAAATTACCCGCCCCCCCGGTCGCAGCTATCCTCCGTTTCTGGAATTGGCTAAGGTGGTCCTACAATTATCCACTTTATTCACGTTATCAAAGTTCATTCAATCAATATCTATACAAAACACAGTTGTGCGTGTGGCGCTTGGAAACGGCACACGTATACATGGTTGGAAATTTAAATGCGTTGACCGGATAAACTATTATAACATAATGATATTGCCCTCCTAGACGAACGAAACAAACTTTAGGGCTAGAAGAACCCAGAACTGGGACAGAACAAGCTTAATTAAACGATCTAATCATGCTGCACCGCGAAGAAAATCGCTGACG